GAGGGTCATTGAGGCCACTTGGAGGATTTATATTCCTTGTGGACAGCTGGTCATTTGCATCCTTTTGAGAGGGTCATTGAGGCCACTTGGAGGATTTATATTCCTTGTGGACAGCTGGTCATTTGCATCCTTTTGAGAGGGTCATTGAGGCCACTTGGAGGATTTATATTCCTTGTGGACAGCTGGTCATTTGCATCCTTTTGAGAGGGTCATTGAGGCCACTTGGAGGTTTTATATTCCTTGTGGACAGCTGGTCATTTGCATCCTTTTGAGAGGGTCATTGAGGCCACTTGGAGGATTTATATTCCTTGCAGGCAGCTGGTCATTTGCATCCTTTGAGAGGGTTGTTGAGGCCATTTGGAGGATTTATACTCCTTGCAGACAGCTGGTCATTTGCATCCTTTTAGAGAGTCATTGAGGCCACTTGGAGGATTTATATTCCTTCCAGGCAGCTGGTCATTTGCATCCTTTGAGAGGGTTGTTGAGGCCACTTGGAGGTTTCTCTGTGTCCTCAGGGGTCACCTAAGTGGTGCAAATGTGTATGGAGCTTTCTTGAAACTGACTGTGCTGTAGACTGGAGATAGATGAGGTCCCATCCCTCCCCCTCCGTTGAGGGAGGGACGTTCAATTTCGACGTCTTGACCCATTTTTCAAACTAACTGGTGGGCTTAATGACCCTCTCAAAGGATGCAAATGACCAGCTGTCTGCAAAGAGTATAAATCCATTCCAAGCCATCCGGTCAGAGCTGAAGAAGCTCCTTGGATGAGAAGCCAAACCTCTTCAAAGAAAAAGAAAAACTCCCGAAAGTCCAGTTGCCTCTGGAAAAAGCCCCTTCGGGACAACCAGGCTGAGAATCTCCGCAGACAACGAGTGAGGAAGTGCCAGGCCATAACAAGCCCACAATCATAGTTTTTGTAGCTGTTTGAGCTCAGAGCCCGGGGAGAGAGGGATTCGGTGTTTGGACCCAGGTTATATGGAGCGCAGCCTTCTGGTCCCTACTGAGGATGGGTGTTGAGCTAGCTGCATCCTTTGCCAGAATGTTCTCTGAGGGATCGGAAGCAGAGCCTAATTCATTTGTGCCCCGAATGTTTCAGGTGTGCTTGAAATGCAAAGGCATCAAGGATACTCACATGCCCATCTACTGCAGCTGCGCTGGGGACTTCGACCTCCTGCTGCCCACCAAGGTAGAGTCAAGGCCCCTTCCTCGCTTTTCCCTCCAGTGGTGGGATTCGATCTTTTTTTTTTAACTGCCGGTTCTGTGGGTGGGTGGGGGGGGTTGGTGGTCGTGGCAAGGGAAGGATACCGCTAAATCTCCCTTCCCTTTCCCCCTGATGTGTGAAGCCCCTTCCCCCTTCCTTCCTTGTCTCGTANCAGTAAAAATATTGGGCTTCTGTCGTGATGGACTCTTGTGACGAGCCGATTGACAGATGATGGAAGCAGTTAGCTTCCTCCCATAATTGGGGCTTCCCAGGGGTTGTGACTATATATATATATTCATAAGATAAAGGTAAAGATTCCCCTTGCACATACATGCTAGACTCTAGGGGGCGATGCTCATCTCCATTTCAAAGCCGAAGAGCCAGCGCTGTCTGAAGACGCCTCCATGGTCATGTGGCCGGCGTGACTCAATGCCAAAGGTGCCCAGAACGCCATTCCCTTCCCACCAAAAGTGGTTCCTGTTTTTTGCATTTTTTACCGGCTTTCGAACTGCTAGATTGGCAGAAGCTGGGACAAGTAACGGGAGCTCACTCCGCTACGCGGCGCTAGGGATTTGAACTGCCAGCCTTTCTGAAGCTCAGCATCTTTAGCTACTGAGCCATCGCGTCATACGCATGAATTATATTCTGCGCGGAAATGTTTATTTTCTTTCCCGCATTCGGAGCTCCATTAGATGGAAATTCCCGGGGGGGGGAGTTTCCTTTGATCTTTGAAGCCAGAAACTCTCCCCCCCTCCTCCTCCCCCTCCCCTTGTCTTTTGCTAGTCCTGCTTATATCCGGAGCTCCAGATAAAAATGCCCCCCCCCCCAACCCGGCCACCTGAAGAACCCTCCTCTCTTCCCCAGGTGCTGTCTCTGGATGCCAACATCGCCAACCAAGTGCAGAAGCTGAAGCGCGACCTCCTGCGCCTCATCGATGTGGGGGAATTCTCCGAGGAGGCCAACTTCCAGGACCCCTGCCGCTCCTACGTCCTCCCAGAAGTCATCTGCAGAAACTGCAACTTTTGCCGGGACCTGGATCTCTGCAAGGATCCGGCTCTCTTTCAGGTACCCTCACGGACTCCCTTCATGCCACCTGCTGCTGCTTTCCCCTGCCCCTCTTCCCTCCTGTTCTGCATGCCAGCCCACCCCTCGCGCAAGTTAAGTTGTCCGCAGGCGCATTTGGCACTCGTGCGGCCCGTTTCCTCCCTCCCGCCAGGTCTCCCAAGCCACAAAGATTAGGGCCCGCTGCATTATTGGGCTCTCGTTCCCTGGGCCCTCCTTCCGTTGCAGCGAGATGTTCTCCTGCAGGTCCCCTCCCTCCCTCTTTCTCCTTCGAAGCCCACCCACTTGGTGCCCCTTCCCCTCTTCCAGGAGGACTCCCCACTGCCCAGCTGGTTGTGCTCCAATTGCCAATCGCAGTACGATTCCGACGCCATCGAGATGGCTCTGGTGGAAGCCCTGCAGAAGAAGCTGATGGCCTTCACCCTGCAAGATCTGGTGAGGAGGGGATGGGGTCAGTGCTCCCCCTGGGTAGGAGGCCTGCCTGCGACTCACCCCGCCTGCCGTCCCTTAACGGAATCCGTGTTTAGCAAGAAGTCCTGCGAGGCGGACTAGCAGATATTCTGTAATCGGCAAATCACGCTCCTTCCCATCCTTAAACTCCCATCAGCATCGTCCTGTTTTAGGATGGGAGTGGAGAGAATTAGAAGATGAAGAAGCTTCTTAGAAAACAAAGACATTTGCTTCTTGCAACAGCACCTTTGGGGCAGCCATGACCTGGAAAACAGAGACTCCATAGATATTTATATCCCTTGCAGACAGCTGGTCATTTGCATCCTTTGAGAGGGTCGTTGAGGCCACTTGGAGGATTTATATTCCTTCCAGACAGCTGGTCATTTGCATCCTTTTAGAGGGTCATTGAGGCCACTTGGAGGATTCATACTCCTTGCAGGAAGCTGGTCATTTGCATCCTTTGAGGGGGTCATTGAGGCCACTTGGAGGATTTATACTCCTTGCAGTCAGCTGGTCATTTGCATCCTTTGAGGGGGTCATTGAGGCCACTTGGAGGATTTATACTCCTTGCAGGCAGCTGGTCATTTGCATCCTTTTAGAGGGTCATTGAGGCCACTTGGAGGATTTATACTCCTTGCAGGCAGCTGGTCATTTGCATCCTTTGAGAGGGTCGTTGAGACCACTTGGAGGTTTTATACTCCTTGCAGGCAGCTGGTCATTTGCATCCTTTTAGAGGGTCATTGAGGCCACTTGGAGGATTTATATTCCTTGCAGGCAGCTGGTCATTTGCATCCTTTTGAGAGGGTCATTGAGGCCACTTGGAGGTTTATCACTGTCCTCAGTTGTCCCAAAGATCCTTTTTCAAGAGGCAACTGCACTTTCTGGGTTTTTCTTCAAAGACATTTCGATTCTCATCCAAGGAGCTTCTTCAGCTCTGGACCGGATGGTGGGGAATGGAAGGATTTCTACTCCTTGCAGACAGCTGGTCATTTGCATCCTTT